GCTACTTTGGAGGTGAAGATTGAGAGAAGACCAGACCAGGAAAAATGTTCACAAGACCCCATCTCAGTCAATAAGCTAGGCAAAGGCCATAGGTAGGAGGATGATATTCTGAGGCCAGCCCTGGGCAAAAACATGATACCCTACCTGAAAAATACCTAAAGCAAAAAGAGTCTGGGAGTATGACTGAAGTGGAGGCCGTGTTCAGACCCTACAAAAGCTAAGTAATTATATTCCTGTTACTGTTATTTTGGAGCAGTGACCAAAGCAAGGAGGATCCTTTTTTTTTCCCTTTTCTTTATCAGACTATAGAGCATTTATAGGCTCTTTATCCTTGTATGCTGTGGGGTGTTACATCAGCGAGGTATTTTGTTTGTTTTTTGGATGGGACTGGGGTTTGAACTCAGGGCTTCATGCTTTCAGGAGCTCTACCACTTGAGCCACACCTCCAGCCCTTTTTGCTCTGGTTGTTTTTTGTTTTTGTTTTTGTTTTTTTTTTTTGAGATAGGGTCTCACTTTTATGTCCAGGCTGGCCTGCACCATGATTCTTGTAGCAAGGATGACAGGCATACCATCCAGCTTCACACATCAAAGGACAAACTCTGTCACTGAGCGACACCTCCAACCCTAATTTTGCACAGTTCTTTAATAGTACATAGCAGACATGCGAAAATCATTTTCTAGAAAGAGATATCAGAAACTGCTCATGATAGATGCTTTGAAAGGACAGCATCAAGGGAAGCTTATACGGGGTCTTTGTGTGTGTGCTGGGAATGGAATCCAGATCTTTTTTTTTTTGTGGTACTGGGGTTTGAACTCAGGGCCTACACCTTGAGTTCAAACCCCAGTCCTATTTTTGTGATGAATTTTTTTGAGATAGGGTCTTGCAAACTATTTGCCTGGGCTGGCTTTTAACCTCTATTCTCCTGATCTCTGCTTCTTAAGTAGCTAGGATTACAGGCGTGAGCCACAGGCACCTGGTGAGAACCCAGGATCTTGTGCATGCCAGGCAGGTGTGCTACCACTGAGATACACTGTCAGCCCCTTATTTTGGACTTTTCTGCTAAATTTTTTATTTTTGGTGGTACCAGGATCGAAACTCAGGGTCCCTTGCTTGCTAGGCAGGCACTCTACCATTTGAGCCATGTCCCCAGTTCCTGCATTTAAATTTAAACATCAGAACTGAGGAAAAACCTAAGTAAACTTTCTAGCTTCACTTGCTTTTAGGCGACTTTAAGAATTACTAATTCTGGAGGTGGCTAGCTGAGCGATTGTTATCATTTTCCCACTAGTTTTGCAGGAGATAACGCAGCTGTCATGGGGTTATGATAATGTTTGCCTAGGTTACTTTTCCTGGACATGGTGGAAACCAACTTTTATCACCTGACCTTGTCTGTACAAGAGTACATGGGTGACCTTATCACATCAGAAGGCTGAGAATTCAGCACCAGGTACAGTGGTTCCTGGCTATAATCCCAGCACTTGGGAGGCTGAGGCAGGAGGATTGGAAATTCTAGGCCAGGATGGGCTAAATAGTGAGACTCTGTCACAGGAAAAGCGAAAAAAAAAAAAAAGGCAGCTGAGAACTCCAACTTCAGGTCACACTAACACTGACATTTTCTGAATATGTCTTCCAGGAAGAGCCAGGAGGACTGATCGTGGATACACAGACCACTGACTTCATGACAGATCACCCTTGCGAAGACCTAAACCACCCTGCTTCTTTACCCCAGTAAAACTCCTAAACCCCTGGGCTCCGTGGCTCACACCTGTAATCTGAGCTAATTTGGAGACAGAGATCAAGAGGATTGCAGTTTGAGGCCAGCCCAGGGAAAAAGCGCACAAGAACCCATGTCAACCAATGGAACAGTGGTTACATGCCTGTCATCCCAGCACCAGTAGGAATGACAGGAGGACTGCGGTCTAGGCTAGCGAAAACATAAAGCAAGACTATCTCAAAAATAACCAAAGAAAGTAAGTGAAGAAAAAAAAAGAAAAGAAAAGAAAAAGATCCAAAGCAAAAAGAATTGGGGGTGTGACCCAAGTGGTAGAGTACCTGCCTAGTCAGCCTGAGGCCGAGTTCAAACCCCCACAAGGCCAAAAAAACAAAAGGACTGCGGGGGACGGGGTGGGAGTCAAGTGGTAAGACTGCTTGTCTACAAAGTGCACGGACCTAGGTCGAATCCTCAGCACCACAAAACAAAAAATGTATTATTTTCTTTAAACATAATATACATGTGAATATAGATTTTATACATTAACAGGGGATATGAATGTGTGTATAGTATGTATGAAATGTAATTCCTTTAAATTAGGGACACTTAACCTGGATCTGGCTAACACTGTTTCTGTAAGTTCTGGGGGTCACCGGTGGCCACCAGGGAGCATGGATGGTAGGTACCTTACACATGTGTGACGATGGCCACTTGTGAAATGATGCTGTGTTAGACAAGTGTGTTAGTCAGCTTCCTCTTACTGTAACAAATTCCTGAGACAACCACATTAAAGAGAGAAAAGTTTCATTTTGGCTCAAGGTTTATGAGGCTTCAGTCTATGATCAGATGGTCCCAATGCTTTGGGCCTGTGACCAGCAGCATGTCACAGCAGGAGACTTGGCTGGTGGAGTGGCTCAAGATGTAGAGTGCCTGCCTAGCAAGCGTGAGGCCCTGAGTTCAAAGGCCAGTACCACCAAAAACAAACCAAAACAAAAAACCCAACACCTTTAACACCAGGAAGTGAAATGAAAGGAAGTAGTCCCTCGAGCCCCTGGGCCTCCCTCCTGCAATCACCACCATCTCCCAGTAGTGACTTCCTGCAAAACAGCCCTTTACCACATGGGCCTTTGAGGGACACAAGATTCAGTCTAAAGCAAGAGAGTTCCTCATTAAACACTGTAGATACAGAGGCTGACCATTAATTTAGTTGTGCTGGGATTTACTATAGTTTTTCTAGGTTGTGTTTCTTTAAAAACTCCAAACAAGGGGCTGGGAGCATGGCTCAAGTAGTAGAGCACCTACCTAGCAAGTGTGGAGGCCCCAAGTTCAAGCCCTAGTACTGCTAAAACAAACAAAAAAAACCACGGTTGAACAGCAGGTGACCAAGTTTAGTAGATATCACTTACTTTTTTTTTTTTTTTTTTTTTTTGAGAGCAGATCTCACTATGTAGCTCAGGCTGGCCTGGAACTCATTATCCAGCTATGTCAGCCTCCCAAGTGTTTGGATTTTTTTTTTTCCCCTGGTACTGGGGCTTGAACTCAGGGCCTTCCCCTTGATCCACTCTACCAGCCCAGGTTTTGTGGAGGGTTTTTCAAGATGGTGTCTTGCAAACTATTTGCCCTGGCTGGCTTTGAACCACAATCCTCTGATCTCTGCCTCCTGAGTAGCTATTACAGGAGTGAGCCACCAATGTACAGCTAAGTGCTGGGATTATAAGTGTGCACCACCATGCCTGGCTTTATATAGTATTTTTAGACACAGGAAATACTGAGTTGATAACATGAACACGTGGTAATTTGAAAACTGGGTAAGGAGATACAGCAATGTCCTGACTGTGATTATATCTGGGGAGTTTGACAGGGATCTGTTTCATTAAAAACCAGCTGCAGCTAGACTCTGGTGGCTCATGCCTCTAATCCTAGTCAGGAGGCAAGAGATTAGAAGGATCAAGGTTTGAGACCAGCCCAGGCAAACAGTTTATAAGGCTCTATCTCGAAAAACAGAAAATTGGGCTGGTAGAGTGGCTCAAGTGTTGGAGTTCCTGTCCAGCAGGCATGAGGCCCCGAGTTCAAACCCCGGTACCACCACCACCAAGGATGACCATACGATACAACCACCCCACTGCTTTGGTACAGAGCCAGGGTGTCGGACAGATGTTAACACACCCATGTTCACAGCAGCACAATTCCAATACAAGTGGAAGCAAGTCAGTGTCCATCCTTGATGGGTACAGAACAAAACAGTCCAAGAGGAATGGATTCAGCTTAAGGGGGAATGGAGTCCTGGTCCACACTGCAGTGTGGAGGGGACCCAGGCAAGATCCATGCAAAGCCGGACCCCGACAGGCCCTGCAGGATCCCACTCACAGGTGTACCTCACATAGCTAGGCAGTCGTTTATACAGAAAGCAGAATGGCGGTTCCAGGAATGGGGGACGAGGAATGAGTGCTTAAGGGGGACATTTTCTGTTTGGAATGATGAAAGTTCTGGAAAGCAGTATTGGTGATGGTTGCACAGTGAGTGTACTCAGTATTAGCCACCCAACTGTTTTTGAGACGGGGTCTGCCTCCACCTCGGGTGCTGGAATTACAGGTGTGTGCCACCGGGGTGGACTGCCTTCTTGAAGCATTTTGCACTCCACCATTCTTGGTCCTTTGGTCATATGACAAGCATCTGTGGAGATGTGGCTAAGTGCCACCTAGTGGGCCCTCGGGAAAGCCCACAGGGATGGCAGGGCAGGAGTTACACGCTAGTGGTCTCTGCATCATGAGCCATGGTGACCGACGTGTCCGATTCTGTTTTGTTGGCATTCTAGAGCAAGTCATTGCCCAAAGACAAACTAAAGCAAGTGTTTGCTCATCTTCCAATTCGGTAAGATCGAGTTGGACTGGAAGTGCAGCAAGCCTAGGCAAATGGGGTTCTGGTTGGGGGTGGACAGGCCAGGGCTTGGAGGGCAGCTCAGTGGTGACTCCTGTGCCAGCCACTCCATGTCTTCATAGTCACAAGATGGCTGCTGTGTCACCAAGCAAGTCTGTTCCAGACCAAAAATGGGCATAAGGCCGTGAAGACCAGTCAAGACTGTCCCCTTAAAAAGCTTTCCTGGAGGGCACTTCTTCTGGAGCTTGCTTCTCCTTGGCCAGGACTGAGCCACAGAAGTCAGGCCCTACCTGCCCTCAAACACCCAGCAGTCGCTCAGCACCGAGGCGCCCTTCCCTGTCCAGCTTAGCTAAGGTGGGGCCAGAGGCCCCATTTAAGTCAGAGTCAGTGCCCAGGGTGGTTTATAGCAGAGATTTATTTGAAGAAATATTACAACATATAAAAACTACATAAAGTCTTGATTTCCACTCACGCAGTGGTAGATCTGATATAATGCATAATAAAAAACCTTTAAAATCGAGAATGCACAAGGTACTGCACAGTGATCACAAAGTCAGTTGATAAGCACACCTCATGACAACCAAGGCCACAAACACTGTACAACACATTTGAACGACAGATTTCAACATGTTAAAAAGACAACAGCATCAGTGCATGTGGATGTTCCGGTGCCAGAAACCAGGGAGACGTGGTGGGAAGGCAGAACTAGTCCCTGGTGGTGGTGTCTGCCTCTACGTTTGCTGAAGGGAAAGGAAAAGTCAGTGTCACCCTGAGCCACAGGCTGACAGAACAAGTACGTGGTTTTGGGGACGTTTCACCGCGTGCTCTGATAGTGCCCACTGATAGCAGCTGTACCGAGCTCTGAGCCGTCCTGAGAGCTCCCATAAGCAGCTGCTTACCTGAGGCAGGCCCGGCCTACCAGGCTCAGCCAACAGGAGCCTCACCTGGCTGCGCACCTGCATGGCAGCCTCCCCGGGTGGGGCTAGTGACTCACTCAAGCCCCAGAGCCCAGGGCACCTCCGCCCCCGCCTCACGTACCTGAGGCACTCTCTTGCGCTTTGGCCAACACACACAGTTTGATCTCCAAGCCGATGGCTTTGGCCAGGGGAGGTGGCACAGCATTACCCACCTGCAGAAGAAGAGGGGGACGTCTGACTGGCAAGGTGGGTGGGGGGGATCAGTGCTCTGGGGGATGGGGTCCTGGTCTTCTGCACTTGCAGGCCAAAGCCCTTCTGTCGTTCGTTAGCCACCCCTGCACCTGACACCCGTGTGTCATTAATGGAGAAGGGGCCTTCAAAGGGCTTTAGAAAACTCAAAGCTAGCTGGGTGCCAGTAGCTCACACCTGTAATCCTAGCTGCTCAAGAGGCAATCAGGAGGATCAAAGTTCGAAGCCGGCCTCGGGGAAATAATAGTTCCTGAGACCTTATCTTAAAAAAAAAAAACCCATCACAAGAAGAGGGCTGGTGAGTGGCTCAAGGTGTAGGCCCTGAGTTCAAGTTCAAGCCCTAGTACCTCAAAGCTAAAGGAAGGGGGGCCACAGAGCCATGTTTCTCTCCCAGCTAAGAGGCCTGGCTCTAGACAATAAGATGGGGGTGGAGCCAGGCCCTGATGGATTTTAAGCCGCACATGTCATTATTCCAACAGTAGTACATTTAGTTAAGGGACAGCCAACCCGACAGTCCATCGTGACACCCTGCTCTCAGTGTCTCAGGACCTTCCTCTGGGCTCAGTGACTGCCTGCTAAGTGACACCCTGACTCACCAGCTTGACCCCACTGTTCCCTTACAGTGTCGTCAGAGGTGACTGAACGCGGTGCCACTCAGGGGGTCCCAGGCAGCACCTCGCTCCCAGCCAGCCCCCGTGCTGCACTGAGCACTGACCTGTCGGTGGCGGTCCAGGATGTTGCCGAACAGCCGGTAGGTGTCGGGGAAGCCCTGGGAGCGTGCACACTCACGCACACTCACCACGCGGTGCTGCTCAGGATGGAGCACGCGGCCCTACAGCAAGAGATGCAATGGAGGCTGAGGGAGCAGCCGAGCAAGAGAGCCAGGGCTGCTCGCCCTCTGTGCGGGGAAGGGAAGAGAAAGGAGGCTGTGAGCAGGGATTCACGTGTGGCCTTGGCCGCCTGCCCAGACCCACCTGCTTGCCCATGGGCTCGGGGTTGGTGACGGTGGTGCTGAAGAAGCCATCCCACTCTAGGCGCCCATACAGGCCAGCCCAGTGGTTGTGCCTGTTCCCAGTGTGTGGCAGGCACCAGGGGATGAGGGTGTTGAACTGCCTGGCTGAGGGGTCGCAGGCTCTGCCAGCTGCAAGAGAGGGTGGTGCTGAGGCTGCAACAGCCTCTACCTTGTGTCACCTCATCCAGGGACAGCAGCCGGAGGTCCCATTGCATTGGTACAACTGTTGGGGATACCTGATATGACCCAGAGCCTAAGGCTGACCTGCAAATGTGCCAGTTGCAGGAAAACCCAAGAAGCCACCCTCCGCCCCCAGCCAGTGGGGGAAGCAGGAGCTGGGGCCCACCTTCCACGCAGGAACAGACCCCACGCAGGGCGCCAGAGCTGCTGCGGCCGTTCTTCCTGTCGTGGTAGGTGTAGCGCAGCTTCTTGGCCAGTGTGCCATCTGACAGCGACACCTCGATGTTGGGCAGGTCGCGCCAGTCTGAGCCCGGGGCAAGGGGGATGTGTCGCATGCGGGCAGCCACCAAGGGGCTCATGTCCTAGAAGAATGAACAGGCTGTCACCTGGACCAAGGTGCACCTGAACTCTGCAGTATGCTGGGCATGCTGTGGTGACTGGGAACCCCAGGGACTCAGATCCCATGGGGAGGACACAATACAAAACCACTGAGGGCCACAGAGCAGCATGAGGGATGACCATGGGTGACATTAGAACTGCAGGATGTGGAGGGCTGGGATTGGTGTATTTGGGAGAAGACACAGGGGAGAAAAAGGGAGAGATGAAGTCTGTGGGGCAGGTAGCACCCAGATACCCCAGGTCAACACAGGACGGTGGCAGCACTAGAAGACGTTCTGGGACTGCACAGGCTTGCAGGAGGCTGGGAGAAGCCAGGATTGGGACAGGTGTGGGGGATGGTGGAGAAGAAGGGAAGGGAGTCGTGAGGCTGGAGGCTCTAGGTCACAGCGGCTTGGATGAAGGTTCAAGGAGAAGGAGCAGGAGCTAGGCACTGCAGGCCGCACCTTGCAGATGTGGTCCCTGAGGATGGGCTGGTAGTGCGAGCCCCGGAGCTGCCGCTGGAACCAGGACTGCGGCTCCCCATTGTACGAGATCTCAGAAGCCGAGGCCCCGTTCCGGATCTCAGGGAGGTCAGACATGGTGTCCCGCACAGTGATGGTCCGGTATGGGCCTGAGCTCAACCTGCAGCACAGCAGAGGGGGCAGCAGTTGGCACCTTGGGGGGACATGCACTCTGTCGCCCCCTGCTGGCCGTGCCCTGCTATCTGCACCTCTGCTCGGGCCCCCAGGACAGAGATCCTGGGACTGGACCCCCAGCACCGCTCACTGCTCACCACCACGTAGCCATCAGCGCCTAAGGCACACTGAGGTAATTTTTTTTTTGGTGGAACTGAGGTTTGAACTCAGGACTCTGTGCCCGTGAAGAAGGCACTCTACTGGCTCCTACCTGGTAATGTTGCTGACGAACTTCTTGTCGTCCACCACAACGCTGAGCTGGCAGGCACGGGGTGCAAACACATGCAGGGGCTCTGGGAAGAGGGGGAGCTTCTCCCCGGGCGCTGCAGCCAGGATGATGGCCCGCCTCCGCGTCTGGGCCACTCCGTACTGCCCGGCCTGCATGGAGAGCCGGACATGCCTGCAGTCAGGGGCGTTCCAAGCACCTGGACTGGGGCTGGTCCGGTACCTCAGCTCACACACCTAGGGAGTTCCCAAACCACCTGGGGGCTGACCCGAGTGAAGGGCCTCCCCAAGCAGCGGCCACTGAGAGGACAGGATGGAGCAGTCACTCCAGCTGGCTCTTTGGGAGCACAGTGGAAGGACCCCAAAAACAGCCGGGAGCTTTGCCATCCCTGACGGCCATGGCTGTGGAGACAGACTATAGCTGCCAGCCAGGCTTAACTGCAAGCCTGAAGCTGCCACTAGTCCAGTGCTTGCCTGAACAGAAGTATGAGTAGCAAGCTCTTTGCAAAGAAGACCTTGTCCCCTCTGGCCACCCCATCCCTGCAGATGCAGTCACTGAGAGCCACCTGGCGTGTGGGCTCTGCTTGCGTGTGCCTATGTCCAACTGGGGAAGAGCATTGCCATCTTCCGGCAGCTCACCATGTCCAACCTTGCTCTGGCTGCCCTTGGAGGTGTCCTTGCTGCCCCCACCCTTCCCCACAGCAGGAAAGGAACAAGAGAACAGAGGCCTAAGACCCTGGGCCCAAGCCTCCCAGGCGCTGGGGACACTGAGAGGTAGGCTCGCTCTGGGATTCTTCCATCTGAGTTCCCAGAGCACCATGCTGGGCAATGAAGGTCTGAGTGTCTGCCTCCCGACCCCCGTCACTACTGCGGTGGCCAGCTGGTCCTCGGCGCCCACCTGCAGCACGCCAAAAGTGCACTGGTACCCCATGCGGACCAGGCAGCGCAGCGTGAGCTTCAGCACCATGGAGCGCTTGAAGGACACGAAGTTCCGCACGTTCTCCAGGAGGAAGTAGCGGGGCCGGTAGTAGTCACAGTAGCTGTGGGGCAGGAAACACTAAGGGAGTCACCCCAGCAGGGTGCGGGGAAGCAAGACCCGACCCACTGCAGGC